TCCTTCCTAAGGTGAAATTTTTGTTTATGATGTTACCAATGAAAATAAAGAATTAAAAGAATAGCAAAATATGATTAATAAGTTTTGTAATGGGAATACAAAAGTGAGGATAAATTTTAAAATGCTATAGTTCATAAAAGACAGGACCATTAGGTATCAGTAATGTAAAGTTGTATTATGTAGCAAATCATATGAGGCATATAATGGATATTATATTACAACTCAATAAAGTTATATGGTTAAAATTAGAATTTTATCAGCTGGAAGGATCCTTGATTGATGTTTTCTTTAAACATGGTAATAAAAATATTATGAAAAGGTTAAAAAATCCTTTCCTTAAAAATATATTACAAATTTGGAATAAGTGTTAGGAGTAATTTATGTCATCCATATCACCATTATACCCAATTACTGAATTAGAAGGATTTCCATTAAATTTGAGAGAAAGCTTGGGAAAAATATTAAAGAATAAATAGATTATTAAGGTAAGAGACTGGTTAGAGAGAATTAATAAAAAAGAAAAGAGGGGCATTAGTAAGGGAAAAACAACTTGGTTTAATGTGATCCAACTAGATTGTCAGACTTAAAACTGGTTAAAGCAAAAGGTTAGAAGTAGATATTATGCTAAATTCGAAGATATGATAGTGGAAAAGGAAAAACAAGACAATATGCAAATGAAAGGGATAGTAAGTAAAATTTATAAGATATTATCAGTAGATGAGGATCAATATGACCCAATTCTGGCCTTGATGTCTAAACAGTAGTGTGAGGTGGACCACATAACTGCTTTGCAGATATCATGTAGTGGAATGCCCACACGGAGGGCAGAAGAAGCGGCAACAGCTCTTGTGAAATGTCTTTTCGGAGTAACAGGTAGGTCCAGTTTGGAGACGTGGTAAGCAAGTACAATCGTCTCAATGATCCATTTCAAAAGTCTTTGAGTACCGATGGGTGCTCCCTTGTCATGTTCTGAGTATTTAATGAAAAGCTGTTTGGTTTTCCTGAATGACTCAGTTTGGGATCAATAGAAGGCCAAACATCTGTGGACATCTAGGCTGTGTAGAGAGTGCTCGATCTGTGTCAATGTAGCAGGGAAGTAAGCCAGTAGAACAATGTCCTGATTAAGGTGAAAAGGCATCACCACCTTTGGCATAAAAGCTGGGTCAGTGCAGATGACTACTTTTTCCTTGAGGAAATTGAGGTATGGAGGGTCAACACGAAGAGGACACAATTCACTGGCTCTTCTGGCCAATGTAACAGCAACTAGGAAAGCTGTTTTCCATGAGAGGAGGTGGAGATTGGTGGTAGCCCGCGGTTCAAAGGGAGGTTTGGTGAGAGCCTGCAAAACAACAGAGAGGCTCCATGTCAGGACGACTGATCAGACTGGAGGTTGTAGGTTTTGTACAACCTCCAATTCTTGTAGGAATCACCGTACAAGTTGGTGAGAGAATACAGACAAACCTCCAATGCACCCCCAATGATGCGAGATGGCTGCGATATACACCTTAAGGGAGGAAGGTTTGAGACCCCCACGGTGTATCAGAGTAGGAATTGTAAAATATTCTCAACGGTGGCAGATTGAGGTAGAAATTGGTTAGCAGCAGCAAAGGAGGTAAAACGCTTCCATTTAGCATTGCAAGAGCATTGAGTGTTTGGTTGTAGTGTAGATTGGTGAATGAACTGAATGTCTGGGTGAAGATCTGTCGGATTCGAAGATGTCATCGGTACCGAGGTAACAGTACCAAGGGTAACAGTGGCATAGAAGTCCCTGATCTCATGGAAGCAAGTGTAGACAACGTAAAAGTCGGTCCCGAAGGAGGTGCTTTTGTTGGATTCAAAGGAGTTGTCGGTATGGGATGAGTAGAAGCAATAGTCAGTACCGAAGATGCAGTCAGTATCGAAGATAAAGCAGGAGGAACAGTCAGTGTATGAGCCAAGCGGTGAGGTTCAGGGAACACAGGTCTGGATGTCGTATAGCACCTTGTTCTTAAGTGAGAGAGTGAGGGATGTGAGACAGATGTAAGAACTCATTGTTGGACATCTGCAGAAGAGTGGGGAACCAGGACTGTCGAGGCCACCAGGGAGTGATAAGGACGCCACGAGCATTGTCCTGACGGATCTTCACTATAGCCCTTGTTATTAGTGGGATTGGAGAGAACATGTAAAAGAACTCGTCCTCCCAGGAGATCATGACTGTTTCCCTGGTCGAATCTGGACTGATGGCCACTCTGGAGCAGTACATCCTGCAGACAGAGTTGTCCAGTGTCCAAACAGGTCTATGGTCGGTGTTCCCCACAACTGAAAAAGATGGTGACAAACTTGGTGATCCAACTCCCACTCATGGGTTGTGGACATGTGCCTGCTGAGGGAGTTGACTTCCTCGTTGTTGATGCCGGCGAGATGAACCACTCGAGGGGTGATCCTGTGGGCAATGCACCAGTTCCACATATGGAGAGTGAGGTGTACCGAGACAGGCATATCACTCGGCTCAAAGCGAGGCACTTTAGCGTGTTTTTTGTGCTGACGCTCAGTTTTATCAGGTCTGTCTTTCTTAGGACGCTTAGGTTTTGAAGCTTCCTTGGACCCGACATGCTTCCTCTTCTCCTTATGTTTCCTCGAGGGAGAATAAGAAAATGCTTTCCAACACGACTGGCTGAGTCCTCTTCGGATGGGTGAGAGGGGGCACTTTTGGAAGGTCCTGGAGCCACAGAGGAGCTGGTTTCTACCAAGACCTGCTTCATGGCAACCAAGGCTTGGGCCCATAACGTTTTTCACAGCTGATTTTCTCGGTTTCTCTGAGCTTGCCTAGTAAACGGCTAGCAATGGCTGCACTTGTCAGTTCTATGTCCCTCTCCTAGGCAGAGGAGACAAAGGGTGTGTGGGTCAGCGGGAGACATTTTAACTCCACACTGAGTGCACTTGTGGAAAGCTACCCACCGTGCAATCAAGACAGAAATGAGGGAAAGTACAGCGGTAAAGAGAGGATAGTTCAAGGTGAAGATGATAGAAGGGTTTAAAAAAAATGGGAAGGGAGCTGAGGGGAGAGGGAAAGGATATAAAGCAGGGGTTTGGTAAGGGTAGTGAACAATGGGAAAAGGGTTTTCAGATCAAGAAGGAGTAAGACAAAAATAGAAGTTTTTAGAACTATTCAAAAGAGTAAGCAAGTCGTTTACAAAGAGACAAGGGGACAAGCAAAAAGGTCCAAGGCATGGTGAACAGCGGTCTCAAGCAGACTGGCGCAGGGGCGGGCACTCCAACTGGTAAGGGGGTGCGGAGTTCCCACCAAAAACCTTTAAAACTTCTAAATGAGGCTCATGCGATGGGGCGGCATATAAGTTGTTTAAATAAATAAATAAATCTTCCTGGCAACAGGTACTGTGCAGGCGCAGCACCCATATATGTGTGATGCACGGAGACCACGATGAAGAACAGGGATTATCTGGGGATTGGAAACAAAATCTTAGGAGGAAAGAATGTAAGAACTGGCCATGTTTAGCCTCAAGAAGACAAGACTAAGGGGCACCCTTCAAATATTTGAAAAGTTGCCACACAGAGGAAGGCCAGGACCTCTTATCATTCCAGAGGGCAAGACAAGGAAAAATAGGCTCAAGTTACAGGAAGCCAGATTCCAGCTGAACATCAGAAAGAACTTCCTGACTGTTGGAGCACTATAACAGTGGAACCAATTAGTGAGGGAGGTTGTGGGCTCTCCCACACTAGAAGCATTCAAGATGGCAGGACAGCCATCCGAGAGGGTGGTTTATCTTGGGGTCCTTCACTGAGCAGGAGTTGGACTCAATGCCTTCTTGGCCCCTTCCCACTCTACTATTCTATGATTCTATGAGATGCAAGAAACACAATTTCTCTCAGATCTTGGTTACTGCACTTCATTCAAAGAATGTCAACTGTAGCTTTTCCAGAACTGGGATTGATGGGTCATAGGCAAGGAGCTGCAGAAGAAAGTGTCAAGTGAAATGCAGGTAAAGTAAGGCCCCACTGTCTCCAACTGAGACTCCAGAATTGGGGTATTCAGGTCCTAAATTGTATGATTTGATGGCTCCTTGTGGTCAGAAGGGCAGTTGATCAAGATTGCTTCAAGGGTAACTTCTTAGCTTTTCTCTGCATTACAGACTAGCACATACACAAAAGGTTTTGGACCTAACTGACTGGAAAGGAGGGTCTGGGAGGAGGGCCAATGTCAATATAGTGAATGGTGCAGACAGAGTCACTAATCCTAATGCTGCTTCCAAGGGCAAGGCCAACACCAGTGCCTTACTGAGGGCAAAATTATGAGTGCCCTCTTCAGACAGGGCCTCCACCAGGGAGCATCTCCTCATGTCAGCAGAAGCTCAGAGGGGACTTGCCTCAAGCCGACAATGAAGATGTGGAGAGCAGACTGCTCTGTGCTGCTGAGCCAGTTGCTGGTGGGGCTTAGTGCCAGGGCAAGGCCTAAAGACTGGCTGCCTGACTTCTCTGGGACTTTTGGTAAAAGAAGAGCAGCAAGTGAGACCAAGCAAAAGTGCCCATCAGGCGGCAGTGCTTTTCTGCCACATCTCATACACTATTTACAGGAGGGTCTTGGAGGCCATAAGCATCCAAGCAAGTGTGACTCTGTTAAGGAGCAAAAATGCAAACCTAAGAATAAAAATTAAAAGCAGCAGAGGAAAAATTTTGTACAGCAGATTGGAAGATGGCCTGTTCTGAGGAGAGGCAAGCATCCCAGGTGCTACTAGTGCTGCAGTGAATGAAAAGGAACTGAGGAGGAAGAGAGGAGTTGCAGCAGGAACATGCACAGAAGAGAATGGGAGAGCCATCACTTCCTTCAGCTCTAGGATGCCCCACCTGTTGCTCTTCTCCGGCACTGAGCCCCATATGTGCGAGTAACAAGCCAATGAAGTATATCCTACCAAGGCATTGTTTGGACATGCCTTGGACCAAAAGGCTGACATTAGCAGGTAACTCAGGTGGTACAGTTGCGAATTTTAAACTCTTTACAGTACCTGCTTCTGAAGTGTTGTCATCCATCAGTTTTTCCTGTGCCAAGTGAAGAGTATCTAACATTTCCTCAAAGATTTCATCAAGGAGCCCAGCCTGCTTACACTTCCTTAAAAAGTCTGTCCTTACTGTTGAGAGAGAAATATATCCTTATTCAAACCATTTTCTAGCTCAATTGCTGCTGGCATTATGAAGCTCTCATTGTGAAGCAATCATTTGTCTGGAAGCCCAGTGTCAAGCCCAGTGTGACTCAGTACAACAGTTCATCTTAAACTTAAAGCAGGAAATCTTAAACAAAGGAAATCTGGTGCTGCTTCCTATCATTCAGCAGAGGACAATCACTGAGCATAGAAGCATCCAAATTTTATTTTCCTCACTAGGGAGACACACCTATCAAGCAAGACAAATAACAACAAAGATGCCTGTTTAATACCTAGAATACACCTAATCCTAAGGGCATGAAAAATGATCATACCTCCGTATTGTGATGATTGTTATAGAAGTTATGACAAAGTAAAGCTGGAAAAGCTAATTGTGCTCAAAGTCTGTTCTCTTGCACTGTTTAACTTTCTGTTTTGAACAATATTTATTAAAGTTTCTAAATGGGAAAAAGTACAAATAAGCTAGAACAAATAATTGTTAACAGATAACATACACCAGAATGTCTTGGTTGCTTATGTGTTGCTTATGCTTAGGTTGCTTATGTGTAACCAACATTCTTCAAGTGGACATTGGTGCATTCATGGGGCCTCTAGTGGCATAGACAGAGATTCCCTAGTTAGGCGTTTTTGGTGGGACCCCTGCCCCCTTCCCCAAAGGCTAGATAAAGGCAGGCTACCACCATTTTCTCCAGTTCCTGTAAGACCATTGCCTGGACCTTGGAACTAGAATGTGGATGTTAAGGTCAGTGATATTTCCGTGTGACACCAATGAGGGACTGGTTGTGTGAATGCACAGATAACCACTTGAAGAATGCTGGTTAGCAACCTTACTTTCTTCTTTGTGGTCTCTGTACACCACACTTATGGGAGTTTAGCAAGCTTACCTTGGAATGAAGGTGGGCAGTGTTGTCACTGTAGAACTGTGGACATAGAAACATAGAAACAGAGGGAGACAGAAGGGGTCTCCCAGGCCATCCAGTCTGACCCCCGGCTCCAGTCAGCTCCGCTCATGACATGCCTACCACGGACAAGATCGCTCATCCAAAGTAACAGTCTTTTCTCACTCATATATCAAGTTGGGGGTGCTGGACAAATGTGGATGTTAGACCAGGTCACTCTTTGTATAGGTCTTCTACCAGGATGCCAGCATGTATGGATGTCACTATTGCTCTGGTCAAGTGCATCTTTGGTTGTTGTGGAAGTTCAAGTCCAGCTAGCTGGTATGCCAATTTGATGGTCCTCTACTATCCAGTGGGCCAGTCTCTGAGGTGTTACTGTTCTTCCTTTAGAAACAAACAGTCTTTTTGTTTTGCAGATTGGTTCAGTGCAAGAGTGGTAGAAGGCTAGGGCTCTGCGGACATCCACTATGGGTAGTGTGGTTTCCATCAGTCCAGATAGTGTTGGAAGAAAGTTGGTAGGTAGTACAGTGGTACCTTGGCTCACGAACTTAATTCATTGCAGGACTCTGGTCGTGACCCAAATTGGTCGTAAGTCAAGTTAAATTTCCCCATAAGGCTCAATGTAAATAAGCTTAATACGTTCTGTAACTTTTTTTTTTAATCGGAAAAATGTGAAGCAAAGTGACAACAACAAAGATCATGGCCATCATGGCCATCTCCCCCCCCAACCCCGGCTCACCCTGAGCACGAGTGCAGCCATCTCCCTGCTCCACCAGCACGACTGCGATCGCACCCGTCATCCTGCACACACCCATCATCCTGCACGCGCTTGTCATCCTGGTGTGCTCAGGAGGGGGAGACGGGTATGATTATGGGCACACTGGGGGTGGGGGAGAGATGGGCGCAAATGCAGGTACACTGCGGGGGAGAGATGGGTGCAAGCATGGGTGCACTGGGGGGGAGAGCAGGGAGAGAATGTGGGCGTGCTGGGGGGAGAGACAGGTGAGAATGGGCGTGCTGGGTGGGAGAGACGGGTGCGAACACGGGCGCGCTCGTGCAGGAAAGATGTGTGCGATCTCAGCCATCTTTCCCCCGCCCCCAATATGATGGCGGCTGCCACCCAATATGAAGTTCGCGACCTGAGTAAAAATGTTTATGAAATTTTTGTTCATGACCCGATTTGGTTGTGAACTCTGAGGTATTAGTGAGCCAAGGTACCACTGTATCATGGTTCAGATGGAAGGAAGATACTACTTTAGGGAGAAGGGAGTGGTCCTACCTTGTCCTTGTGGAAAGCAACGAATAGTGGGTCAATTCTGAGTGCACAAAGTTTGCTTGCCCTGCATGCTGATATAATGGCTACAAGGAATGCTACCTTCTAGGACATCAGGCAGATATCTGCCATAGCTAGTGGCTTGAACAGTGGTTATGTTAGTGCTTGCAGCACCACTGAAAGTCTTCATCCCAGCATGATTGATTGGGCTGGTGGTGATACGCTCTTCAGTCCTTTCAAGAACCTTCTGGCGATAGGGTGAGAGAAGGCAGTATACCCCTCAGTCATCCCATGGAAGGAGGATATAGTCCACATAAGGTTATGTCCCTGTCCTGTGAGAGATATGCCCAGGCAATCGCTGAGTCCAGCCTTGTGCCAATAGAGGGAATGGACAGGGTAGAAGAGAGCACAGATTTTTCACTGTTTACACAAAGACCCAGCTCTTGTAAGAGGATGCAGGTAGTGTGAATGGAATCTTCCAAATCTGATTTGAATGAGTCAGTTAAGAGCCAGTCACCCAGATATGGGTAAATTGTTACTCCTGCAACACAAAGGTGCACACAGACTGTATTTGCAAAATAGCCATACATTTTGTAAATACTCTTGGGGTGGCAGACAGCCCAAATGGGAGGACACAGAACTCACAGGTCATGATGAGGAAGCAAAGGTGGATGGTGACATGAATATTTGCATCCTTTAGGTCTACTGAGGTAAAACAGTCTCCTTTTCATAACAGTGGCAGTATAGTTTGTATCGAGATAATTTGGAACTTCTTGAGTGGAATATAGAAGTTTATGCTCTAAGGTCCACAATGGAGCAAAGGCCGCTGTCCTTTTTGGAGTCGGTAAAATAATCCCCTCTGGTCAGTAGATGGAACTGCTCAAATCGCTCCCTTTGCTCAAAATGTGGCTACTTCCTCTTCCAAAGTGACTGATGGGGAGATAATCTGTACTGTTTCCAGAGATGGAAGAGATTCAAATTCAATGTGGTACCTGAATTCAATGAGGGAGAGTATGTTATGTCTTCCCATCTGGCAAGGTAAAGTGTTGAGCGGCCTTTGAACCATATTGGTTCTGATAACAGGGAACTGGGTCAGGATGGTTGTCAGTGGCACCATCTCTTGGCATTCAGCCTCTTTTTGGAGGGTTGCTGGGTGTGAGAAGGGCCACCTTGATGTAGTTGGGTTGCAGGTCACCTTGGGCAAGGCGGGTTGCAGGACTGGCTTCTTCTGTAGTAGTAAGATGGGTCCCATGGCCACTTACGTGCTCTGGGCACCGGGGGAGTAAAACCCATCTTATACATTTTTCTGAACACTGCCATGAATGCCACCTTTTGGACAATGTCCAACTTCTCATCCATCCGGGAGTTGAAAATACCCTGACCGTGAAAGGGTATTTTCTCAATGCAAGCCCTTGTCTCCTGTGGGAGCACAGATGCCCTGAGCCAAGCATGGCAGTGGATCCCCACAGCACCAGTAAGCACCCTTGAATCGCAGTCCAAATGGTGTCATGCTGTATTTAGCTGTTGCTTGGAGAGTCTTGGGGCTTCTGATTGGAAGATTCCAGCAAGTTCCCATTGTTGCTCTGGGAGATGTTGTGCTAGAGCCCTCATTTTCTTCCATGGGAAGACTTAGTAATGCGCCATTGTAGCCTCATAGTGCACAATTTGTAGTCTGAGCTCCATTGTTGTGTGCATACCTTTCACCGTGGAGTCTAATCACCATCCCTTTCTGTCTGCAGGCACTGAATGTTCATGGTGAGAAAGTCCTTGCGTTGAGTCTACAATCACTGAGTTTGGATAAGAGTGATGTAGGAAGAAGGGGATATTCCCCTCCTGGACCCAGTATAGACTCTCCAAATATTTGGATATTGGCCATCGTTGAGCCAGTGTCTTCCAAGGCTCCTACATTGCTTTGAGAAGGGTTGGCATGAAAGGAATGGCCACTGGCACAGAGCCCTCTGTCAGGATGATGTCATAAATTAGATGGATCAATGGTTCAGCTTGCTGGGACCTGAGAGCAATGCAGCTTGCTCTCAGGTCCCAAGCCTGAGAGATGTTGCCATCTGGAGGACCTGCTTAGATAATCTACCCAAGTCTTCAGAGGTGGATACTGGACCTTGGGTGATCACAATGTCCTCTGGTGATGTGGAAACCAGTTTGTCACACTGTGCCTCATTCAAATCGGAGGTATTGTCTGCCAGAACAGAAGATGTGGAGAAGTGAGGGAATGGCAAAGGTGATGCTCTCAATGGTGGAGCTGGGTGCGTTGGTGATAACTGGATGGCGGAAGATGTTGGCCCTGGACTTGGTGGTTTCAGTACTGGGGCTGGAAGTCTGTTTGTTCCCAGCAGCTTAGAAACATAGAAACATAGGGGTATCCCAGGCCATCTAGTCTGACCCCCAGCTCCAGCTGGCTTCACTCATGACATGCCCACCATTTGCATGTCCAGTCTTTGAACACCCTCACCGATGGGGCCTCAACTATCTCCCGTGGAAGCCCATTCCACACCCTCGGGGTCCTGACTGTCAGGAAGTGCTTCCTGGCATCTAAATGGAACCTTGGTTCAAATGGAGCCATTGGTGGCATCTAGTCGCTCTCTCTCTCCCAAGGTGGCATGAGAGTAGCTCTTGATTGAAGGCTTGAGACCTTGGAGGCAACTGGGGAGACCAATGTGAAGATCAGTCCAGGGTGTTTTTCTCACACTGGTTGGAGAGAAGGAGAGAGTTGTGTGCTCTGGACAGTGTGTTGAACTGAAGCTGTGAAACATCAAACCAGGTAATGATGTGGTTGCTGG